ATAATTATTATTACCCTTAAAATGATTAATTTAGGGTCTAATTAAAAGGGCCAATTCCGCCGATCCGCCGAAATGCATATATAGAAGAAGTTCCTAGTCTGTACTATTAAATTTTAACTTGTACGCTGTAAACGGGAGAAATGATAATCTATAACCAACTAACTAAAAATCTAACGATCAAATGCTATAATCTATAAACTGATAAGTACAAAACCGATGTTCCAAAAATGGTAGCGTCGATTAAGGCGTGGTGAGACTTGGTCCGAGTTATTAGAGCTTGGGCCTTGTGGATGTAATTCTCGGGTTTAAATGAACCTTATTTTACTTCTATATGGGCGTTACTTGAGATCTGTTGTATAATTCTAACACTAATAGTTCAATCTTTTGCTTATTTTTCAATATGTTCTTCGTATCGGGTCACGTGTCACGAGGCTTTGCTAATTCTCAGTTAATCGACGTAAGAGCCAAACAATGATAATATGTAATAATGACAAATTTTGATCGAGTTTAATTCTTATTATAAAAAGGGTTCTTGATATCACGGGGACAAGTCAATACGACAAGTAGTTTTTCTTTTATTACGAAATTTTAGAGAAAAAGGGGAAACTTTATGAGAACTAACTTCTTCTTATAATCCTTTCGAAGTTTTAGAACTCGAATGAGTTAACCTTTATTAAACGAAACTTTTGGTCTTATATACTTTTTGTCCATTACTGAGTACATGAGGACTGTATTTATTGAAACTATTTTTACTATGTGCTTTTTCATGCTAACTACACATATTGTTATTTAAAGGTAAACTACGCTGTACGAATTTGTATGAATTTGAATTCGTTCTATATTGAACGAACTTGATTATTCTGCTTCGTTCAAATTCAAATGATCTTTCGTACAAAATCGAACGATCGTCTTCGTTCAGAATTAAACGAACTAAAGAAGGCTTATACTACTAATTCGTTCAAATTTGAACGAACGTTGTACGTAAGTCTATTCTTAGTAAAATAACTTCTTCCATTTATTTTTCTATACTAACTTTGCTAAAAATATAGGGTAATAATAATAGTAATAAAAATAGAGAGGCAATAATAATAATAATAATACTGTAATAAATAAAAAAAAAGAATCCACGTGGGTACTCAGGGCCCATTTACAACGCACGTACGTACGTACCAGTTCTGAAATTGGGTTGCAGAGTCTGTATGCGCAACGAATTCTAAATTCCTGCAACCAAAATCTGAAGTGCACATGCGGATTTTGCATATAAATTTGCAAATGTTTTAAATTTTAGATGAAATGTTTATGTGCGCAACCAAATTTTTATCAATTTTTATAACTCGCAAATCGTTTTTTTTTAATTGGTTGCAGAGTACGTACGTAACTGGTGTTTATGTATGTTATTTATATATGATTTATGCCATAAATAAAAATTGGACATATTATTTGTATGACATTTTCTTTATTAGTCAATACATTTTTCACCGAATTACCTTTTCCAGTAATATCAAATATGTATACTTGTATCCTGGCAGATATTAAAAAAGACGGATACAAAAAAAAAAAAAAGATCCTATAAATTTATCTACAAATCTGGCTGAAGGCAAAATATGATAAAATTTGCACGAACGAAAACTCAAAAAGGAGTAAGAGACAATTTTTCCAGGTGGTTTATCATCACGCTTATACCTAAGCAAAAGTTAATAAAACTAAATGTGATTAATGAAATTTAATGAGCTATCCACTAATATTTTTTTTTAGTTCTAAAATTATATTTACTCATCTTGTCATTCAATTTTTGGCCTTTATTTACGACAAATTGCTATTTAAAAAATATACCGGTTAAAAGAAAATTTGATCTATTCCCTTTTTTATTCTAGAGAAATATAAAAATAGTATGTATTTAAATTTACTTCAAAGTAGCTTATAGTTATATTAATCTTTATCCTTAGCACTTAGCTTTAAATCTATATGAGCAGCAAAATCTCTCCGTGTACAAAAGAGGCATTGCAGTATGGTACTTTCCTATGCGACAAACCTTTTTGAAGCATGGGAGCATGGATTTGTAATGATGGTTGGTATTCCTTAATTTATCTAAAACTTTAAAAACATGAATACCTAACTAAATTTTCTTTTGCATAGGTCTTTCTGCAGAACTTTTTCCTCTCTACATTCTCTTACATAACAATTAAGCGAACTCCACCTAGTTTGTTTAAAATTATTTTCAACTTAGGAGCTCTAATGAGCTATTTGTTTTTTTTCTTACTTAGCTTAATTCCGTCCCCTGATACTTCTACATGCCAAAAACTATTTTACTTTAAAGCTATAGCTGTTATTATAAAAAGAGCCTTTTTGAACTCATTTTTACTGACCCGTTTGAATCTCATTCACAAAGAAACAACTACCTTTAGAATAAGCGTAATTCTTTTCGTTTTATCTCTTATTACTTACGTAAGTAATAAAGTTAATTTATCAGATTTGTATACGCCTTTAGCTAATATTTACTTTTTATAGTTGACCTATTTTATTTCCCTTATAACAACGGTTTCATTTAATTCTTGTTATGATCGGCAAGCTGGACTTTTATACTCCTTATCTAAAGTAATAATGATTCTAGTCGATGAAGCTATTAATGTCTTTGTTACGGGTAGCCTACACTTGCATTTTTTTCGTGCTCGAGCTTTAAAGACTAGTTTTGAAACTCTACCGGGAGCTAGAATCGGCCCTGAGAATATGGATCTATTCTTTGCAGTAATTTTTTGCAATTTAATGCGAGCAGTTATTATCTCTATGGCAAATATTTTTGATATTTTTAGCGCTTCACTAGAAGATCAGAACGATAAAGAAGCCAGTTGGCTGACTGTGTATAGCATATCTTCTGTTTTTTGGGTGTTTATATCTCATATAGTAACTAGTGACATGGAAATAGTTAAATTTTTAAAGAAAAAGGGCCCTGGTGGCGGTAGTTCCGGTGATTCACGTACTCCTATGTATAGTCATTAATATTTTAGAAAAGTTTATATAAAAAAATTCAAAGTTTCTAATTTAAATTAAGAAGAGACTTTGATGAATTTTATCTTCTACAATAATATCTTAATAAAAAAAAATTACATTTTAAAGAAGCTCAATTTATGCTTATTGATAAAATCTTACTAGATATAAACTTCATTTTTATTTTATACCATCTCAAAAGTAACTGTCTCTCCATTTGTATTACCTTGATTCTTAACTAATCCCTTTTTAAGTTTACACAAACAGTTAATATATTGCTAAAGCAATACATATAATACAAGTGAACGCCTGACATCAATATAGTCAAGAATAGCAAACAATTATTAGTACGGATAAGCAAATTAAAGACCCGACATGATGAGTCGTATCGTATACTCCAAAGAGCTATAATACTAAAAAATAGAGCACTAATCACAAATAATAGAAAAAACTGATAAACAATAAATAGAAAACTAGTGCTATTAGTTTAAATTTAAATACTAATAAGTAAGTAATAAGTAAGGTATCGAAAACATTTCGAAAGATTAGCTGATGATACTTTGGGTCCAAGACTATCAATATTGGTTTGAAACCACAAATCTTGGTTTCTGACTATTGCAGTTCGAGGAGTTCTGTGTTTGTATAATAAAGCTGGTAATAACATATTTAACTCTTCCCCACCAACTAAACTACATTCCTTAATAACCCACTATCATTAAATCCGAATCTTTATAACCATTCATCTCGCATAACTTATGCTTATAACTCTGAGCTAACTTGACCTCATATTAGCCTAATTTCTCCCTTGGTTAGAACAGCGATATTCCATATGTTTATTGATATGTTATGTGTCTATTGTAGGGTTCTTGGAATGAAGGGTCCTTGCATGCCATTAATAAAAATATATATAGATGTGTAATCTATATTCTTTAAACTTTAGAAAAATTTTTTAACCAATTAAATTAATCAGGCCTATCGAATAATTGTTTGTGGACAATTAATTACAATTATTTGAACTCAATTAGTTGATTGGTGGCGCAGCCACAATTAGACAATTTTTACAAAATGTTATAAAATAGGTACCACCTAGGTAAAACCTTTCAATTAAATTTTATGCTGAAAAATCTCTAACAAACTTACAATTAATTCCAATTAATTGCAACTATTACGTCTAATTGGATAATTGGATTCAATTTTTTTGGAAAATTTTTAATTGATTGGAATTGTTTATGCGTTTAATAAAATTTAATTGCAATTAATTTTTCGGCATAAATTAACACACGTAAATCATGTAATTATGTCAGGTCATAAAATGCATGTGGCATTGGGGTTCTGCATAATCGAATTTATGTCTCACCGATCATTTAACACGTGATCAATTTGGACTTATTCATGTCGATAATACAATCTTCTATTTATGATTTCTCAATAACTACTTGATTAAATTCAATGTCGATTTTTTTATTTTAATTATACAGTATTGTAGAATCAATATAAATAATTGATTTTAAAAAAACTCTAGATATAAATTTCGGGAACACTGAACTCAGTGATATTTCCATGATCATCACATCGCATGATTAAGGATTAGTGTTAGGGTTAAGTGATAATTTAGTTTGGCCAATTTGTTAATGCTAGTAAACAAGCGTTATTTCACGTGATATGATGATCACTGAGTTCAGTGTTCTTGAAGTGCCCCCTCGCCTTTTTTATAGTGGCCTTGTTTTCTATCGGATGATAAATTACATGAACTATCCAATCCTCCACATTTATATTACGAGCCAGTTTGTCTATGATGTCATTTTACCCGTGACAGTAATTGCTGATCTGTACTATCTAAGCCTCCGCAGTTAAATTACGAACCAGTTAATCTATGATATCATTTTATCTCCTATCGATTTTGCTGATCTAGCATAAAATCTGTATTATTGATTTTTACAATAACTCCTGACATATATTTGATTAATTAACATATGCATGTGGCATGAAATTTTAAAACTCCAATAAATTTATATGCGTATATTGCATCGCAAATCCACTAATAAGGTTTCTGAATAGATTTTCTGGTAAGTATACTTGATACGTATAATTAGTGATGTGCCGCGTACAGTGCGTACTGTACGCTAAAATTTTTGCCGATTACTTGCCCCAGCGGGTATATAGTATATTAGTACAGTACGGTAGTATAAGTTAGTACGGACATTAAAAAAAAAAAAAATTAAAAAATCATACTCAGACGTACACATGCGTAGTACATGATCAATTACGTATACTACGCATATTGCCAATTGCATAATTATTTTATTAATATGATTGATTGCACGATGACTCCTTGTCAATTGCATAATTATTTGATTGATTGCACGATGATTTCTATATTTGTCAATAAATCCGCTTTTTATAGTAAAAACTTAACCTTTCTTGTTCGCTCGTTGTGCAAGTATCAAATATGGATAATATGTTGGATATATCCGATATTGAAGAATTTCAATATGACCAAGTAAACCCTGAATTTGAACAAGTAAATATATAAATAAATATTTAGAATCAGTAAATGCGATTTTGTGTTAAAAAATTAATAGAATATCCGTCTACCTCACCAGAAGGTGTTGCAACAATATTTCATATTGCGGATTGGGCTGATCCAACTCATGCATGGAAAAATGTAAATTATAAATTTTTTTAATTTTGAAAATTAATTTAATTTAAACTGTGTAACTTTATTTATAATTAATTTAGATACAATATTCTATGGGTGGTGGTGGGATTCATTTGGTTAAAAAGTTGCCATATTTTGGCAATATTCAAGTACATAAAGAAGAGTGTGATTGCATGGGAATAAAAGTTTGTTGATTTACTGATCCTTTACTTACAAATATTGAACATAATGTGGTCAATATTGAATCATCATTATGGAAAAGAATTACTGTAAATCAGGATATTGATTTTAAAAAAGCAAATACTTACGTGTAAGTATATATTTATATATATATTTAATAATAAAAATATATTAAATTTTTTTTTAAATGTAGTACATATTTGGCCGCCAAAGATACTTCTTGCAAATTTAAACTCAATAATAATATTACATGTTCTGGAAATCTAATATTATGTAAATCACAAATTTCTCAAGATATACAAAATGTATATCAATGGTTTGTTGGCTGTTAAATGTATCATATTGGAGATCAATGGCATCACTACATTAAAATTAATAGTGAAAAAGTTGATATTATTCTTCTTTGAGATCTATTTCTTGGAAAATAAGAGGTATTTTTTATATAAATTATTTTATATAATTAATTTTATATAATAATAATTATATTATTGTATATATTTAGATACAGGAAGAATTACCTTATTGTACAACATTGTTACATCGATCCTCTAAAAGAAAAAAATGCGGTATATATATAATTAATTATTTTTTAAATAATTCATTTTAACTTTATAGTTCTGTAGTTTATTTATATAATATATATATATATATTATATTCATCG